TTTGAGTCGCCAGCGCCTGACTCACACCGTTGGCCCCGCCCCGTGATTCCCGGAGGCCCCGCCCCTCCCCACCTGCGGCTCATCCAGGCCATTTCCAGGGGCTTTTCTGTGCAAGTGGCCTCTCGAGCCTCATGCTTAGGACTTTCCTAAAATCTCTCAAACAAGCAGCAGCTGCCCCATACGGCTTGATAAGCGGCCCAGGCCTGGCACTAGCGGCAGCTGCACTGGCTCATAGCTTGGCCTCAACTGGACAATGCCAATCCCAGCACAAGTAGCAGCCAACTACGGTTTGCTGTGTAGCTCATGCTGGGTGGCCCTGGGCAAGGCACTGGCACAGGCTGACTTTGCACCTCCCGGGAGGCCCCAGAGACAGTGCACCTGGTGGTCAGACTCGACCACACTGGATCACAACCCTACCACATCCACTAGTGACACTCAAGGGGCGCACTTGGTGAACACCGACGCTCCACTGAAGTAAATCCTGCTCCCTAGGGGTGTCTCCAGCACAGCAGCTCTTTGGTTGTAGTTGCAGCTGGTCCTCACAGCTGACTGGCCAGGAAGTCAGTTCCTCCCAGTGACGCCAACAGCAACCAAGGCTCAACTACAACAGGACAGTGCACACAGCCCACACAGGAAGCACCTAGAAGGCCCAGCTCAGGTGACTGGGGAGGCTGAGCCCCTGGATCCTACAGGACACCTACTGCACAAAGCCACTCTACAAATTCCAGGAGACACAGCAGCTCTACCTAATACATAGACACAAACACCTGGGAGCAGCCAAAATGTGGAGAAAAAAAAAAAACATGTCACAGAGGAAAGAACAGAAGAAATCTCNCAAAATGTGGAGGCAAAGAAACATGTCACAAAGGAAAGAACAGAAGAAATCTCTAGAAGAGGAACTAAATGAAATAGATCCGAGCAAGCTAACAGATACAGAGTTCAGAATTTTGGTTATAAGGACANNATTAAAATGCCAAAGGTTAAAGACAAAGAGAGAATCTTAAAAGCAGCAAGAGAAAAGCAGTTAGTTACCTACAAGGGAGCCCCCATAGGACTGTCAGCTGATTTCTCAACAGAAACCTTGCAGGCCAGAAGGGAGTGGCAAGAAATATTCAAAGTGATGAAAAACATGGAACTACAACCAAGATTGCTCTACCCAGCAAAGCTATCATTTAGAACTGAAGGTCAGATAAAGAGCTTCTAAGACAAGGAAAAGCTAAAGGAGTTCATCACCACCAGACCAGCACTACAGGAAAAGTTGAAGGGTCTTCTTTAAGAAGAAGCTAATGAACAAAAGAATCTGGTGAACTAAATAGGTCCAGGGACATTGATGCATGTGACGATCATATTTCAGAGGAAAGAGGGAAGGGGGGTGGGGGTGTGAAGAGATTAACCAAAGAAGTTATATGCATAACCGGTTCATGGACACAGTTAATAACGGGGTGGAGGCCTG